GAGAGAGTATCCCTCTATGTGGAGTGGGCTCCAAAGTCCATTCATGTACTAGGGATAAATAGTGATCCACTACCAGAGGTCCCATAGATTAACCAGAACTCCAAAATGACACCCATATTCAGGGTGTCTGGAACAGTCTTATGCTGGCTTCCCAGCTATCAGTTTGGGGTCCATGAGCTCCCCCTTGTTCAGGTCAGCTGTTTCTGTGGGTTTCTCCAGCCTGGTCTTGACCAATTTGTTCATCCCTCCTCCCTCTCTGCAACTGGATCCCACAATTCAGTTCAGTGTTTAGCTGTGGGTGTCTGCTTCTGCTTTCATCAGCTACTGAATGAAGGCTCTATGATGGCATATAAGGTAGTCATCAATCTCATTATTGGGGAAGGGCATTTAAGGTAGCCTCTCGAATATTGCTTAGATTGTTAGTTGGGGTCATCCTTGTAAATCTCTGGACATTTCCCTAGTGCCAGATTTCTCTTTAAACCTATAATGACTTCCTCTACTATGGTATCTCTTTTCTTGCTCTCCTTTATTCTTCCCCTGACTCGATCTTCCTGCTCTCTCTGGTCCTCCTCTCCCCTTCTCTTTCTTCTAACTCCCTCTCCCCTTCACCCAAACTCTCAGTTAGCTCAGGAGATCTTGTCCCTTTCCCCTTCTCCAGGGGACCATGTATGTCTCTCTTAGGGTCCTTCTTGTTTCCTAGCTTCTCTGGTGGTGTGGATTGTAGGCTGGTAATCCTTTGCTGTATGTAAAAAATCCATATATGAGTGAGTACATACCATGTTTGTCTTTTATGACTGGGTTAACTCACTCAGGATGGTTTCTTCTAGTTCCATCTATTTGCCTGTGAATTTCAGATTTCATTTTTTCCCTCTGAGTAATACTCCATTGTGTAAATGTACCACATTTTCTCCATCCATTCCTCAGTTGAGGGGCATTTAGGTTGCTTCCAGGTTCTGGCTATTACAAATAATGCTGCTGTGAACATAATTGAACAGATGTCCTTGTTGTATGAATGTGCATCTTTTGGGCATATGCCTAAGAGTGGGATTGCTGGATCTTGTGGTAGACTGATTCCCATTTTCCTGAGGAACTCCCATACTGATTTCCAAAGTGGCTGTAGGAGTTTGTACTCCCACCAGCAGTGAAGGAGTGCTCCCGTTTCTCCACATCCTCTCCAGCATAAACTGTCATTGGTGTCTTTGATTTTAGCCATTCTGATAGGAGTAAGATGGTATCTCAGAGTTGTTTTGATTTGCATTTCCCTAATGGCTAAGGATGTTAAGCACTTTCTTATGTGTCTTTTGGCTATTTTAGATTCCTCTATTGAGAATTCTCTGTTTAGTTCTGTACCCCACTTTTTAATTGGATTATCTGGTGTTTTGATGGCTAGCTTCTTGAGTTCTTTGTATATTTTGGAAATTAGCCCTCTGTCAAATGTGGGGTTGGTGAATATCTTTTCCCATTCTGTGGACTGCTGTTTTGTCTTGTTGACTGCATCCTTTGCCTTACAGAAGCTTCTCACTTTCAAGAGGTCCCATTTGTTAATTGCCAATCTCAGTGTCTCTGCTACTGGTCTTATATTCAGGAAGCGGTCTCCTGTACCAATTTGTTGGAGGTACCACCTACCTTCTCTTCTAAGAGGTTCAGTGTGGCTGGATTTATGTTGAGGTCTTTGATTCATTTCGACTTAAGTTTTGTGCATGGCAATAGATAAGGATCTGTCTGCAGTCTTCTTCATGTTAGCATCCAGTTATGTCAGTGCCATTTTTTGAAGATGCTTTCTTTTTTCCATTGTATAATTTTAGCTTCTTTGTAAAAAATCAGGTGTTTGTAGTTGTGTGGGTTAACAACAGGGTTTTCAATTCAATTCCATTGGTCTACTTGTCTATTTTTGTGCCAATACCAAGCTGTTTTCAGGGCTATAGCTCTGTAAAAGAGCTTGAAGTCAGAGATGGTGATTCCTCCATAAGTTCCTTTACTGTACAGGGTCTTTTGTTTTTCCACATAAAGTTCAGAATTGTTCTTTCAATATCTATAAAGAATTGTGCTGGAATTTTGATGGGAATTGCACTGAATCTGTAGATTGTTTTTGGCAATATTGTTATTTTTACTATGTTGATCCTACCTATCCAAGAGTATAGGAGATCTTTCCATTTTCTGGTATCTTCTTTAATTTCTTTCTTTACAGAGTCAAAGTTCTTGAAATGCAGGTAAAAATCATATTTTTATGTGGTATTATGGAGTAAGTGTGCTTTCACCTGCTAAAAAAGAGAGATAGTAGTTTCATGCTAAATGTATATGCAGTTACTTTTATGTTAATTCAGTCAGTCCTGGTAGGTTGATATCATGGAGAATTTTAGATGAGTATGAGTTCAAAGAAAAATATAATGCCCAAGCCATATCTTTTTTTTTTTTTTTTTTTTTACGAGACAGGGTTTCTCTGTATTGTTTTGGAGGCTATCGGTCCAGCCCGGCCTCGAACTCACAGAGATCTGCCTGCCTCTGCCTCCCGAGTGCTGGGACTAAAGGCGTGCGCCACCACCGCCTGGCTGCCCAAGCCATATCTTAAGAGACCCAAAGTATAGGCTGGAAAAGTAAACAGGATCACATGAAGTCATTGTCAACCTGGTAGGTATGATACTGGACAATTACAATCATTTTCCAATTCCCGGGATACCAACATAATATTGTGACTTCTATAGTAAAGGCAAGAGTGGGGCTCGAATTAGGAAACAGGTTTCAAACATTTCTTGGGCTTAGAACAGAACATGACTGTATTTGTTATTAAGACTACATTTGAATTTGTTTCCAGTCCTGTACCTTAAAGTGGTTCTAGTTCCAATAGTTACATAGCAAATATCCTGATTTCCTAACTGACTCCATCTTGTACTTTCCTTTGAAGTCAGAATGAGGACATGAGAGAAAGCACTACCTTATGCTTAGAGACCCACTTCCCTCGTGATCTCCCTTATGCGAGATGGTCTGTGTTAGCCCAGGGCACTTTTCTTCTTTGTGGTATCTTCCAGTGACATTCGAAGATGTATCCTTTCCAGGATTATGAACTATAGTGCTATAGTGCCAGATTAGACGTCATGTTTGCTGTGATGCGTTGCTGCAGCTGTGGAAATATTCCCAGTCCCAGGCAATGGCTTAGACCTCAGAAGGATTGCAAGATCAAGCCTATCACCATTATTCAGGAAGTGAAGTTGAAGCAGTGCCACTGGGCAACTAAAACATGGTAACAAGCCAACCAACTCCTGTATCCTTAGGTCATTAAGATTACAGAGTCATTTAAAGGAAAGCATGTACCCTGTTAGCTTTGACTTCTAAAATTGCATTCATCATTAGAAAAAATGTTAGTGTGTCGGGTCAAACCCAAGATACATTTTTCCATGTTATAGTTAGTTAAGCTATTTTGTAATCAATCTGTGAAGTGTATATTGTAGAAGTTCTTATTTCTTAAAACTGATCTTAAATCAACAGCCACCAATGGAGACTTAGACCCCTGGGAACACAGAATTATGAAATCATAATTCTCTCTGATGATGCCTCGCAGATAATTACTCTTGCCTTGAGATAATTCATGATTGGCAAAATGAATCAGTCACATATATTGAAAAGATAGCCCAAAGGCTTCCTTCAGTTTATAATCTCTTAATATATGTGAACATAGTGGGCACTGTTCTAGTTAATACTTGGACTTTCATTGTTTCAGTATTACTTTAGAATTCTCTATATTTCTTCAAATAAAATAGGAAAGATCATATTTGTCAATGACCTCAAGAAGAGCAATACCCCCATTCAATATTACCAGAAAAATTTTCTTTAGTCTCAACATCTCAGCATGCCTCTCCCTTTGGAAGTCCCTATGACTAGCTAGGGCATCAGTTCCCACATACCACCCCAAACCTGAGGAGCACAGCTCAGAGCTGTGCTCACACTTGCTGATGTGAAACACAAAGGTATGTTTTAGCTGTGCACTCGTATAGTTTTTGAGTTTGGGAAAAACTCAAATTGCCCCTTTCCCCCTTTTATTTGACTAAAATGCATTTGAGTTAATTTTGGAACTAACTTTTACATAAAAGCCAACAACAAATCAATACCTAGAACTTTGAAAGGCCCAAGTCCTTTTTGTTTTTGTAATTAACATGAAAATTACCACACTAAAAAGCAGCACACAAGACACACAAGACAGAGCACCCCCCCCCCCGCAAACAATACCGTAGACTTCATTGTTCAAAACCAAAATACTGCGAAAGTCCCTCCATGCCAACTTTTTCATTGGAGTATTTTGATATGATTGATGCAAAGATTTATTTTTATGTATTTATTCATTTTGGTGTTTTTGGCCCATGGCTTTAGTAGCTCTACTTGATTTTAGCTTTCTCTGCAGAGGGGGTCACAACCACATCTCCACCTTATCAATGAAATTTTCAGTCATAGAGGACTACCACCAGGATACATGTACATGCCTATTGTATATTCACTGATGTTCCACAAATATGCCTTGCTTTTGAACCACATGGTATGACACATTCTAGTATCTTCTCTATGTTTGATATTCTCTTATTTGAAAATCTTACATTTATACCTTTCCAAGAGCCATATTTATGATCAAAAGCTGTTACTTGTTATGAGTCTGGGGTGGCAGGATCTTGATTTTTGAGGCCAAGCTAAGCTATACAGCAAATTCCAGGCCAGGGTGGGCTACACAGCAAGACCTTGTCTATAAATAAATAAATAAATAAATAAATAAATAAATAAATAAGGAAGAAGCCACAAAAGGCAGAGGAAAATGACCACTCTGCCTTTAGAATTCTTACCTATGTTTTAATCTATAAGCTCCATAAAGTTTATTTTCAAGTAAGATATGAATTCCATTTGTTAAATGATTTTGAAACACATGGCACGAAACTATGGCTTAAAGAGTTAGTAAAAGGGAGCCTCGCATGAAAAACATGTCAACTTGACATTCTGAAAAGCAACTCATCCACATGAAATAGTCAAAAAAGGACTTCATTTAATTAGTGAAATGTAGAGTTTTGCATAGAAAAAGGTTACAAAGTAATGCAGAAAAGACTAGGTACAGTAATTTTAAAACAGATATTTATGAGTATAACTTTGCATAACGTTCAACATTCTCATTTATTGCTTTCTCCACACAGCAGAGAAATGAAGTGCATAAGAGTACATGCTGTGTCTTTGTCTTTCGAATATAAAATCTCACGTGCTCAATTTCAATGTATTAGGAGATTATTTTGTCATTTAAACAAGATAAAAAAATCAAAACCAAAACACCATTATGTAGCTCTAATCTAGGCATGGTCAAAAATAATTTATGTACACTTCATTGCATACATTCATTGTGGTTTGGGATCAAATGCAATCGCTAAGTTGACCAAGGGCATTTAAAGCATGTAGCGTTTCTCTCCTGAATCCTCTGTCCTTATCTCATTACCTCCAGAAATACAACATTCCCCTCCCCACCACAAAAAGGGGCAAAACCAGACATTACATGTTGTCAGGAGAAAACTGAAGAAGTTAAGTGTATAAGCATAGCCCAAATGTAACGGAATAAATTAATCTGAACTTGCCAACTGAAGAGTTGTTGAGTTGGCACCAATGAGACTCTGGTGAGCACACAGCAGGTAACTGCTTCGAGGTGCACTGTACAGCTGTAAGTTTACAGAAAGAGCCATTGGGTCCTAAACCACGTCTCACTAGAGTGCATGGGAGCTTGACGGCAGAGCAGAAAGGCCTGTTGATGTGGGCACTAGTGGAATTGTTCTTTGCATCAATGCATTGCTAAATTGGGCACTAGTGGAATTGTTCTTTGCATCAATGCATTGCTAAATATCCCTGCTTGGCAAGTCTGTTTACAGAAGACAAAGACAAAACTATGTCTTGCAACTTAATTCCCATCAATCTTTATGGTCAATAAAACCTGTTGTTTTCAAAAGAGTACTATGTCTGCCGTTTAAAACATGTTGTCTGTTCCCTCCTTTTTCAACCTAACAGCCATGCCCTTCTGATCTTGTGCTACATTACATTCCTTAGCTCAGGCACTTAGATAACATTGTATATATATATTTTTTCTCCCTTTCTGTTTCAGGAGAATTCAGTTATGGCATTTTTTTTCTTTTCCAAGTCAGAAGTATTGGTGCACCGCTGGATGGTGACCTCCATATATTTTCCGGGAAAGGTTAAATGGAAACAGATGTGACGTTTTTAAGCTGCTGATGTCAGTTGCCAAGCTGCCTTAGACAAAGTGAAAAACAGATAATACATTTCCGTTTGTGAACTTTGCTTCTCAGATCGCTTTATTGTTGCTGCGTGGCTCTGTAGGTATCTGCGTGGCTACCTTCAGGGTGCAGAGGTTTAGAAGCTGACTCTGAAATGGACTTCCAGTTACTACTGCCAGAAATAACTTAAAAGGCTCCAACTTCTGTCCCCCAGGGTCGGTAAGGTTTACTGTTTGTTCCATTGCTTGTCTGCTGAGGACTGGAGGCTGCTGACACTGACAAGGGTGGGCTGATCGCTGTTGCAGCAGCAACTGCGGCTGCTGCGTTGGAGGGGAGCATGGGAAAGGCCCCTGCGAAGGACAGAGGGAAGCTGTGCGCAGCTGCGGTGGCCGCTGCGGCAGCGGCATGCACAGTGGCGGAAAGAGACAGGAGAGAGGTGGAGAGAGGCGGCACGCACGGTGCAACGGTGCCCGTTGATGGCATCCGAAGAGCTGAATCTGCATGGGCAAATGTCGCTGTGAGGAGGGCAGAGCCGTGGGCAGGAGGCACTTCTGAAGACGTGGATAGGCGACATGGGGTTGACTCCGATGTGTGGAGTCCGTTGGGTTGGAGCAGGGCTGTGGGGAGATGGTGGAAGGCTGCTGCCCAGTGGTGTGGGTGCAGGGGGTGGTGGTGGTGGGCCATGGAGGACGTCATCACTGCAGCCTCCCGCTGGGAGGCACAGGTGCTGAGATGAGAGACAAGGCGCACTCGCAGTGGATCTGATGAGTCAAGGCCTTCCACTGAGCTCAGGTACCTCGCCACTTCTGTCAAGCACTCTCGGAAACCAATGCTCATGAAGTCCATGGCAAGAGCATGGGCATCAAAGTAGCCTGAAGAAGAGATGAGGAGAGTCAGAGGCGAGAGAGCAAAAGAAGGAAAAATGGTTTTGGAGCGCAAGCACCCACTTAGATCTTCTGAAGAGATGGGGTGGCTCTTTCTGGAAACACAATGGCTGCCATGGCCGTGGATTTTTGCAGGAGAAAAGAAAGGTTACTCTGCAAGTAGCATGCACGACAACTTTAGCAATACTATAGTTCATCTACGATCTAAATGTCGCAAGAGGAAAAGTAAGTTAGGCACATTCATGTTTCAAATACCCCCTGCAGTGGGAGGGGACGTCTTATTTAGTCTTGTGGGGTAATGACTTTCCTCAACAATACTTTTCATGGAAATGGAAAAAGTTTCACAGAATTGGTGATTTACAGGACTTTTCCAGGACTGGACCCAGGACCTGTGCTCTCTATGCCAGCCCTCTGCCTTTGAGCTACCCCACAAATCCAAATTAGGTTCTTTACATCTTGACATCAAAAGCATTTACAACGTATCACTTCATGCTTTTACAGAGCAAACTTTGCCTGTTTCCTTTAGGTCACTTTATAATCGAAGCATTATGAAAAACTGTTGATATATTTATTGGGTAATCTGGAAGTGAGGGGGGAAAAGGTGTTTAGAGCAAACACAACCGTCAGGAAAACTGAAACAGCACCAAGCTGAACAAGAGACTATCAAGAAGGGTGGGGTGTCAGAAGTAAAAGTGGTTTGCATCCCCAGACCCTGGAGCAGTCATTAAGTAAAGTCTCTGGGATTGGGAGGAAAAGTTACTCCATGTGAGGCTATTGCACAGAGAGATTGCACATGCCCAGTCTGTAGGGTCCCCATCAGGCTGGAGCGCCGGAGTTTCACAAAAGAAGAAGGGAGGTAATGATCGGAGTTCAGAGATTCAGAAAATCCAAGAATTTGTTTCTCTCTAGAAAAGGCTATAATACTATGGCAGACTGAAAGGGACATACTAGCTTATTTGAATTTCCCTGACAGCTGTAAAGTGACATTTGAGGCTTTCTAGCTATGCTGCTGTGTATGGCTGGTCTTGCTGCACCTTAAGGAATATGAATTATGTAACTCCCATTCTGTTGTTGGAAGCAGAGGGAAACGGTGATGAGCAGCTGCCTCCTAAAAGTTGGTCTGGAGCCAACAATAACACATGCCCATAACCACTTCATCAGTATCAGTGCGGTTCTAAAGGCTTCAAGCCAACTAATTCATTTACAACCACCTGCGAGGAGCCCTTCATCATTGTCTCTGTTACAAATGATAAAACTGGTGCTCAGCTGTCACTTAGCTCAGCCCTGGTGACAGCCCTGGTGAACTGGAGAAGCAGAAGTCACAGTCAGGCAACTGCTCCAGAGTCCATGTCCTTTGCCATCACACTAGACACAGCCGGGAGTCTGGGCATGTGAGACAACACTGGCAATTCCTCTTGTTCAAGGCTTACACATTCTTCTGAGTGATGGCCTCTGCAGTGACTCCCGAAGTCAGACTTACATGGCATCTGGTTCGAAATGTCTGTTCACTAACTAATCTGGAATGAACTTTAGGACTGCTCAAGTAGTCACAAAGAACTGAGATAACACTTGTGGTAAGGTCAAAGGACAGACTTTCTCTCTAGAAACTCAGCTCATGTCAAGCATTCAAGATTCTGGTAGCCATTTCTCACCTCATGTATACCAATTGTAGGGAAAATAGAGTAATCGCATAGCTTTCCTGACACCACACCTAACTTCACTGCTCTCCTGAAATCCTGAGGTGGCAGGTGTAGAGGCTGTCACACGACTTAGGGCTCATGGAACATATTCTGCTACCTTAACCTCTGGAGACCAGCAGGTGACTTCCGACTCAGGTCAAAGGTTGTAGTTCAGTTAGATGGGACAACTGACTTCTAAGTTTTAACCATTAACATCTGTGTTACAAAATATTTGCATCCTATGCTATTCTTCATTCATTCAAGATAGTTTCTTGAGTCATTGTGACCTGAGGCAAATATACCATATGGACATCACGTATAATAATCTCCTCTACTGACATGAGTAGAAGATGGTTTGGGTCAAGGCTAATGTTATATCTGTTTTCAGATTAGTAAAAGTGACTGGCATCTAATTCCCTGCCCCACCCCACCATGCCCTGCTCTGTCCTGCTCTGCCTTGCCCTGTCCTGCCCTGCCCTGCCTTGCCCAGATCTAGGATCTGAGGACCGTTGAGGAAGCCTATGTATGATGTATCTAAGAGGCCTTCAGCATTCATTGAAGCACTGAACTTCTGGAAGCTTTCTCTTTATTCAGTTGTGAGATATACCTGGCTGAGATGGATCTCAAAGGCATCCATAAAAGAGTGAAAAAGCTGTAAAAGGGCAACAGGAAGTCTGAGAGAGGTGGCAGGAAGTGGGATAATGAAATGTGAGGGAATATTACAGCTGTCACAGTCTCATCCATCCTTAGTATGAGGGTCCTGATAATTCTTTTCTGATGGACTGTACAGTACAGGGGACATTCTACTGTGGATGGGGCCAGTCTGGATATCTACTCTGGTGAGTTCTCCCCAGGAACAGCCTGTTATATTGTTCTTTCCAGTAGAGATTTGGTACCTGTATTTCAAATGTTGTGGTTGTGTAAAGTCAAGACAGGTCAAAATGGTCTGGGAAACAACGATGAAAATAATTCTAGAGCCGCTTCCTTTAAATAGCTAAATTATTTCAGTTCTAGCCTTGATTTAATAAAAGTATGTGTGAGACAGACAGACAGACATAGACACAGAGAGAGAGAAAGGGGGGAGAGAAAGAGAGAGAGAGAGGGAGGGAGGGAGGGAGAGAGAGAGAGAGAGAGAGAGAGAGAGAGAGAGAGAGAGAGAGAGAGACAGAGAGACAGAGAGACCCAGCCTTGCTGATATTTGGCTGTTTGTGCGTTTGTTTTGGTTTTCTGTGCAGAGTCTAGAATGCACTTCTCAAATTTCAAACAAACCTCTGCCCAGGCTGCTGTGAAGGAAGCTGTAAGCTCCCACAGTATTAGGGAAGCAAGCACAAGTCCAGGGTCAAGTGCTTCTTTTGTTCTAGAAGTCCTTTCCCAGGAGTTCAATCCTGCCATTAGCATTGATTGCACCGCTTTAATCTGGGCTGCCTGTCTCAGCTTGTTAGGGGGCTGTTCAACTGTAACTTCCTTAGAATAGTAGAAGGACACGATGAAAAGAGAAAGGTAAAAGGGGGTGAACAATGGTGCCAACTCTTACCTTTCCCCCCTGTTGCCTGAAGCATCTTCAAATGATCCACAGTCATTTGCAATATTTCAGCCTTTTCCAACTTAGCAGATCCCTTCAGAATCAAATAACAAAGTCTCATGAGTCCTGCAGAAACTAACTTGGTACTTTATATAATGAACTTAGCACTCCAGTTCCAATTTTGCCTCTCATTATAAAATTCTATGTTTAATTTTATCACATAAAAATCCTGAATTTCTTTTACTTTAAATTCTGTGTGTGTGTGTGTGTGTGTGTGTGTGTGTGTGTGTGTGTGTGTGTGTGTGTTTTGCAGGTAACTATGCAAGTCAGGGCACCAGAACCTGGTGCAGCCTCTGTGAGCCACCTAGTATGGGTTCTGGGACCAAGTTTTGTTCCTTCTTTTAAAACTTTGGAGCCATCTCACCAGGCTCTGAAGTCTTTCTAAACTTTGTATAAAAGTACCAGTTACTGTGGCATAAACGATGATGTCAGCTTGCAGTGCTAAAGGCTAGGACAAGGCACAGAAGAAATGATTTGTTAAACAATAAGAACAATTATATTCCTAAGATCACCCCACAAACACTACGCCAACTGCAAAACTCTCAGACTTTGTACTGGATCTCTACTTAGATTAATGATATATTTCATCAAGGTACATTTATTTTTCATTACTATTGGAGACTAGAACAGTTAAATAGTTGAATGTTAATTTTGGAGAATAAGGACATAACATTTTAACAAAACATCGAAAGTAGAACATTTAAAAGTAGAAAATTCCAATGTCCTTATAGACACCAGAAGAAAACAAAATAGGAAAGAACTCTCAAGGTTACCAGCAGGTGTCACTGTGAATCCTAAGATCACAAATAGAAAGGACTAATTCACAGTTTACTTAAAGAGCATCATACATGCCTAAGGATTTTCCAATTATTCAAAACTGCTCTTAACAAAATAGTCTGGTGAATACGTTTTCATTGCTCCTCTTCTTAAAATAAAGTAACCTTTGAAAACCAGCTGAAACAAATGTGTCACTTAGAGTGTCTTGGGGGGCTGTGGTGGCTTCTAACTAACTTCCTCCAGGAGGGAATAATTAAACCAATATGTGGTTTGTTGTATTGTTGTTGTTTTGATGTGTGTGTGAAAAGAGTCCTGACATTTATTCTAAGTTCCTAGATTCCTATACTTGTTAGCTTTTACATTTATTTTTATTTGGTATTTTTTAAATTATCAGCATCCAGTAAATAGCAGAAGTTTCAGTTCTTTAGCTGTTGTAAAGAATATTCTTCTCCTCTAATTGTGACAGGGCCAGCTCACTAGGGTTGGCAGCCAGATTTTGTAAATGGGACCGCTTGTGTTTATGGTAACTAGTTGCCAACTACTGAGACTAGCTCTTAAGGTTTAAGTCAATATTTATGAAAAAAAGTCTAGCAAACCAAGACTAAGAAAAAAAACTCAATGTCGCAATGTAGATATTTCAGCTCTCAAAAAAGTAAAACATTCATAAGATATTGTCGTTTTCATTTGCAGCCTACTAATTAGCAATATAATTGTACTTATAGTACAGGCAAAGTTATCATATTGTGTATGAACTGCACAATGTATTTTTGTCTTAAATATACATAATCAATGGCATAACACGTCCTATGCTTTTCATTGTTCACCATGTCCATGAAGTCATATGAGCAGTTGCAGCGAAAGTGCCAAACTGCCACCCTGGATGGACTCCAAAGGCTCTGTGGGGCTTGCTTTACAATGTTTGCAGAATCATGAAGTAAACAAACCAACAAAAAAGGCACAAACAACCAACTGATGTTTTGCACCCAATTTGGAACTCAGTTGAAAACATTTTCTGTATAGAAACAGCTACATACAGAGTCAGTCTGAAAACCGAGACTTCCAAAGTCATGAAAGAAAGTGTAAGTACTTGGTTTTCTGCTTTCTCAAATGTGCAATAGCTTTTTCCTTTTTATGTAAAGGAATACTTGAAGTTTGAAAAGCAGCATTTATGACTAATTTGATTTTTACCAAACTCTCAAACTATGCCCCATATCAAACAATGTTATATTAATTCAAGAATTAAAAAACGAAAGTGGCTTGCTAAATAAATTGTATTAGTATAATTTAGGAAACCAAAGTAGAATCTTTACTTCCTTGACTTTGATTTCTTTTTAAAAGAGTACTTTCAAAGTTTTTGAGAAAAATGATATTTCACATGATACATTTTTTTCAAGAGTACTACATATAGCACACTTTTAAACAAAATCCCTGCTGGATTCAAAGAAAGAACAGAGAAAGCATGAGTCCTGGTACCCTTAAGGGGAAAATAAGCTAAAGAATGGAAATGTTTTCAACTTCATGACGGATTATGTTTTTAATAGTTTTGCCACAACAAAGCATTTGATTGAAACGGCTGGTCTCCGCTGGATCAGGGAGTCCACACAATTATTTTAGTGAGCTCCAACAAGAATCCACTTTCCCAGATGAGAAATCAGATTCTTTGAGCCTGGGGGGTGGTGGTGGTGGTTAACTTACTTGTTTTTCAAAAGCCGTTGGCACTAGCCGTCTCAACTCAGATAAACTGTTATTTATTCGATCCCGACGCCTTTTTTCTATTATCTATCCCAAAGAAAGCAAAACAGAAGTTACGTATGCAGTAACATTATTTAGGACAGGAAAACAGCAGGAGATGGGAACGCTGGATGGCATGGCATTAAAGAGGCGGGTTCACTTACCCCTCTCCTTTTCTTTCTTGCCATTATCTGAGAAGTGGTTGTTGGTGAGTTTGACCTCATCACTGAGCCTGCGCTTTGCCTGTGAAGGAGGCAGCTTATGTCAGGTGCTGCATCAGAGTAACAATTGTCCCCCATTCCCCACACCCATGCTTCATGGTACCCATTAATATTCAGATTCATTGCACAGATCATGTCTATGTTATTATTTTTTCCTTAGTTTTGGATTCCTTTTTAGTTCCCAGGTAGTAATTATGCCTTTCAGGAAAAAAAAAAAAAAGATGTTTGTGAGGCCTTGCGATGGCTTAGCAAGTTAAGGCAATGGCCACAAAGTCTGACCTGAGTTTCATCCCTTGGGCCCATGTGATGAAAGAGAAGCCACTTGGACTTCCACAAACAGAGGTGATGGTGACATGCACCTGGCCACACACAATAAATAAATGTAACTTAAAAAAAGAAGCCACTGGGTAATTTAGCTGTCAATTCAAATGACAAAAAGTGAACCTGAACTTTTGAATTCCCCAATGAACTAAGGTTGGCCAGCCAGTTAGTGTGAGGGGTCAGAGATTAATATGTTCTATTCCTCCTCATATATTTCTTAAAGGTCAACAAGCCATCTGATGACATGCCTCCTAGTATCTCCTGCCAGACATACTGAACATCACATGAGCCCCACAATAAAAGTCACCGTGCGTCAAACTTGTTTCTAAATGCCACTTTTAAAACAAGCCAAATACTTATACCATTCCCAAATTTCAACAACTACTCATATTTGGTAACATAAAAAGAACAGGCTTCAAGTTTTGCGTATTAACCTTTTAAAAGAATATCCTAACCATATCACTGGTAGGGAAGTTAAATTTTGGTCTAGTACTTTGCATGCTTTGCTTTGAAAATGAAAGTATGTTAGCAGCCTTCAAACTAAGCTGCAATCCTACTCGAGTTTACTAAGAGGTATTTTTATACTGAAAAGTTCTGTCAAACATTTATTTGCCCACAGAGTTGGTCACCTAATGTATACTCTCCTATGAGTACACATTAGTATATGTCGCTTTGAGATTCACAGACACTATAATTCTTTTCGGTCTTGAATTCTCCAGGCTCTGTCATTTGTTCTCTTTCGTTTTAGACGTTCTCCTATCACCCCATCTTCTCACTTCTGGATCTTAATTCGAAAGGAACCATCCTGTTCATTGTCACCCCTTCTCTACAGGTTTCACCTTTTCACGTGACAGCCTCCGTTTGCATTTTCTAAGACACTTCAACAATGAGAACTGGTAAACAGCGTCTAGAGCATCTTTTTTCTTCTTGCTGCCTTAGGGCTTTGATTTCTAAGTCTTAAAATACGTTCTGTGGAATAAAACCAATTTTCTACATGCAGGAAGGATTTTGTTCCTTGAGTGACAGCTGCAGATAAATAATTAAGGTGCTCCTGGGCATGCCAATTAGAAGCAATTATCATTTGACCCGCCTTGGCTCCAAAATGCCTGGGTAATCTCGCTGTCACAGGAAACTGGAGGTCTGTCTCTTGTGATCACAACGCTGATCCTTTAGAGACTAAAGGACAAGCGTCAAAGCAACGCTGCCTCGTTCGCTCCTTACATCTGTCACTCATGGGTGGGTCAGCCAGATCACCCTCTGTCAACCTGCGCAGTTCAACCCGTTTAGTCTTAACAACGCAGATGCTTTCATTTATCAGAAGCTCAAGTCGCGATCCCAGCTTCTTCCAAAACAGAAATCCAGTTTTTTGTTTTTTTCCTCCTGACCTATTTTGGATCTGTCCCTAAACACAGTTCCAGAGGCGGGGGCGTCGCCCGGACGTGCCTGTACGTGTGCTAGCGCTGACAGCCCAGGACCCTCCCTCGCCATCTCCCTCGCACGCTCCCTTCCAGTCGCGTCCCACGCCTAGTGCGAACCCTACCTCTCGCCCCACCCCGACTCCTCTAGCTCCGCGAGCACTTGCTTCTCGGGGACAACTTTCTCCTCTCCACCAGGAGCCCCGGGATTTCCTAGGAGCCCCAAGCTCCCGACGCTCTCCCGCTTCTGCGCGCTCACCCAGAGTAATTGTTCTCGCTTCCCACGTCGATGGTCTCATCCATATCGCTTTCGGAGGTCGTCTCCTCGCAAGGGCGTTTCATCGCGGCTAGAAGGAGCAGCCACCAACGCCAAGCCGGACGCAGCGCGCTCCCCGCGGGCCTCCTCCCTCCCTCCCAGCCCGGCTCCTGTAAGCGCGGCTCCCGGGGCGGCGCGGTCAGCTCCTCCAGACTCTTTCCCACGCCGCAGCCCAGCCTGGGCGCAAGAGCCGGCGCCAGCCACGCCCCCGTGAGGGCGGGGCCCCTTTGCTTCTCCAGGCCCCGCCTCCCCGGGACGGCGTGGCTTTCTATTGGCTAAGATGGAGAGGGCGGGCCCGATCTAGCCAATGCCCGCCGCGAGGCGCCCCCAAAGGCGTGGGAACGCGGCCGCGCACCTAGGAGCCCGCCGGTGACTTGGGGCGGCGGACCAGGGCGCGGGCGCGCTCGGGGCGGGCGGGCTCTGGGGTTTAGGCCCTTCTCTGCACGCCACGGTCTCTCCCGCCTAGTTTCTATCCTGGGTTTAAAGAATAACCGCTAGCGCGTGGCTGAGACGTGTGTGACGTCGGGGGTGGGTGGGTGGGGGCGGCGAGGCTCGGCGATCCACCCCACTCAGCTGTCCCTCCTCTGCACCCAAGCTGCTGACTGGCTGACCGCAGCGGTCACGTTGACCCTCAGGGGATTTTGAGAACTTTAAATCAAAGTTGCTTTTCACCCTGCCAAACTCCGCAGCCACAGGGTTGTGGGCAGATAAGGACGCGCGCTAACCCGTCCAGGTGCCTAACTTCAGGAGGTTGGCCCGGTGCAGTATCGGATTTGCCATCCCTCCCTCGGCTACTTCCTTTGTGTCTCCGGCCACAGGGACTGGGGGCTTAGATCGTCGGAGTAGATGGTAGGCTAACTGTTGGGAAGGATTAGCAAAGAAGCGGTAATTTCAGGAAACGATCTGAGTGGGTTTTCGAGTTCAAATTTCTCGGACTTGGACTATCCAAAAGAAATGCCCCAGTCCTTCCTCCAATCCCTAAGGTGTGTGCAGCCGCAGAGTACTTGAGCTTCTGAAGCCAGAGGACTCTTTGGCCCTGGATTTGTTTTATGAAGCCCCCATTCTTAGTAGGTCTTAGTGCGTGGACAGAATGGGTTGTCTAAACTCTAGGTGTGCTTTCAGACTTGGTTTCCAAGCTGCTGCCTCTCTCTCTGCAAAGGGCGGGACTTTTGAACCGGCTCCACGGACGTGTCTCCCCGCACTCAGGAGCTGGGCGCGCTGCTCAGTTGTCTGGCACTGTGGCTGCACAGCAGGGTGGGCTGGTGGGAGTCCAGCAGGAGATGCCACACGGGGCTCAGGGCCAGCTTTGCGCTTGGTGGACAAAAGCCTCTGAGAAAGAGGCTTCCATCAATCACCAAGGTCCTCCACCTTGCACAGATGTTTATCTTTCTGGAAATCTAAGGCACCTCTTGGACATTCCATTCCCTGGCCTCACTAGACCGGTGGAGCGGAAGAGGACAAGAGAAACAGGGACAGCGAAAGACTGGTGCAGCAGATTTGCTGGATGGAGAACTGGAAGGAGCCAGGGCAACGCCAAGGTCCTGCACTAAAACACAAACCCCCTTTCCTACAGGCCCTGGTCTCTTTTGTGCGGTCCCTTCAATAACCGTGTGAACAGAAATCTGAAACTTTCCGTCCTGACTTTTGAAACTTAACTCCAGGCAAATCACAAGGTCATCGGGGACCGGGCGGGGCCTGGCAAAGCAGGATGGGGTCAGTGCTGCTGGACCGCAGAACCGTGTGGGTGGCTGACTCCCCAGCTAGGCACTCAGTCTCTGCGCCGGCGCCTGGGTGCTCCGTGGTCTTAGCCAGGACTCATAGCAGATGGCCCGAGACTGCTGGTCCTATGCAAAGCCGACCAGTGCCTTGTGCTACTCTGGCTTCTGCAAGGGTTATCCAGCTGAGGGTGAGAGCCTTAAACCCAGCAGGTTCCGAGCCTCTCTTCTCCAGCTAGAGTCTGTGCTCCCCGTGCTCAGTAGACTTCACCACCAACCCCCGCCCTGAAATTAAGGTTTGCCACGCGAGCGTACGAGCAAATTAGTGGGAGCTTCCAAAGGCCTGAAGTAAAACCTGAAATCATTACGGGGTGGGTGGGGGGACAACCCTAACAGATTTTTTTCTCACTGTACTAGTGTATTTAATTATAATGATTGCGAAAAATTGCAGCGGGAAACGGTTTGGTTGTAATAAAGTAGCAATTGGTTAAAGTTTTTTTTTTTTTTCCATTTTGCTTTTGGAGACTTAACCGCTGTGTCATGTCATAAAAGAATATGTCAGGGACATTCGAAAGCACTAATGGATTAAAAAATATTTTTTACTTTTTGAGCAACGAGGGTCATATATTGAAAAAGTTTAGAATAGTGTCTGGGATACCGAAAACGTGTTTAGTGTAAAGAAGAATAAGCATGACAAAAGACAGCACTTTATAATGTCCAAAGGACATGATCATTAATCTTTAAAATACTTAATCCCAGCTACAGTGATTTTCCATTATTGCTATTGCTCTCGAGGATCCCTTTTGTCTGTTGCCTGCCTAGGCGACTTTCCTGTGTTGGGTCCTGCGTTTGGGTATGGGGTAGAAACAGAGGAAACTTGCAAGCAGTTCAGCCCTACTTAAAACAAAACAAGCCGAGCTTGGGTGGAGTGGGGAGGAGCAGGGAGAAAGAAAGAGAGCTTTGGGACTTAAGCCCCATCTCCCCTCAGCGACTTCGTTTTTCAGAGAGAGTGGCTGGAAAGTTTACTAAGAACCAGGGTGGAAGAAAAGGCGTCCGTGTGCAGAGCAATCTGCCTTCCTTTCCCTTTGAAAGATTTGAACAATGGGATAATTAGACCGATAGATACGGGGAGGAGGGACTGTCCTAGAAACGAAAGGCCATTAAGAAAGAAAGACCAGGCTGACAAATCTAAAGGCAAAAGGAGATGTAGACCCGGGTGCCTTCCCTAAATTGGTCATCTGGTCCCTGGTGCGTAAGTGATTTACTTCACTGAGTAGAGAGACGAACAGATGAGAAAGCGCAGAGATCTGGGGGTGGGGTGGGCAGGGTGGGGGTTGGGTGGGTGGGCGGCGGGGGGGGAATGACCAGACTCAGTGGTTTCCCTCTTCCTCTTGACCTACCTGTTTATTAGAATGCGACTTTTCCTACTTAAGTTTGGAGATCTTGACCAAGTCTTACCTTGCTCCTTAAATTTGAAATTTTAGCACCAAACTAATAAAGTGAAAAAAAATTTGCTGCTACTCTAAAAATTCCCTTGAAGAATTTTGGGAATGAATCATACACACACACACACACACACATACATACATACACACACACATATCTATACCTATATCTATATCTATCTATCTATCTATCTATCTATCTATCTATCTATGTATATATCACTTCTTTATTTGCATTGAGATGAGGCTTACTATTTCTTAAAAAAAAACAACTACTGGAGCATTTGCTTGTCTCAGAGTCTGCAAGGCATGATGTCATTAAAAAATATTTAACTTACTTTCCCTGTGAAGCAAGGGTAATTCTGTTGTTTAGAGACCTTATGTTAGTCTGAGAAGTCTAAATGCAGACAGTTCAAACTGGGAAGTCTAGTGTTTTCCCCCATTTGAAATGTCAACATGGAGGAGCACCCCCCTCCCCCACCCAGGGCAAACAGTGCTATTTTATTTGCAATTGCCAAGCAGGTGATAAGCGTGTGCTGATCTGTAGGCAGCCTTGTGGAGCTGTCTTGCCTGACTACAAGGCTATTGTGAGCAGGCACCACCTTAAAATGTGTGAGAATGCTGCGCCCTGGGAGTAGAGGCCAAGGGCAAGATCCTTGTGAATTTCAATACCTTTTCAACATTGGGCAGGCAGCAAGCCGGCCAGTCTAGGGTCACTGTGTGACACAAATATGCGAGCCAGTAAAACAACACAAAGCTGAAAGCAAGGGAAAGTCTAGCCCACCAACCTTGAAATCATGTCTGCAACAATGCTTCCTTTTAGCTTCAGCAAGTCTTCTCCCCAGGTTAGCTGCAGCACAGTGTGGACAGCATTCATGGTTATCTCTTCTAGGTGCCACTGCTTGTCACATCAGAGATAGCAAGGGAGGAAATCTAAGATCCCAAACTCCCTTTCCTGGAAGTTGTGTTATTTAGACTAATCTGTGCTACAAAGAGGGCAATCTACTTAAAAGCTTTTCCTTCATGAGGCCTTATGAGGACTCAGCACAGGTCCAGGGATAAAGATGACTTTTATGGTAAGACCCTTGAGAAGAGGGTTGTAGTACAGCAAGGAACCAGTTTTCCATACCCAAGTAAGCAATGGTCAGAAGACATCAGCACTCACTATGTGTTAACTACATTCTTCCAGGGGGCCAAATTGATGTTGACAGGTTTTTGTGTAAAAGAATGTCTTTAAATTTCTTTGTCCTTGATGCTGGTTTGACGAACAGGCCTCCCTCCCCTCTTTTATAGACACAGGGAAATACGTTTACTTCTCTCATGAAAGTGATTCTTAACTACATCCCCATTCTCTAAAATGATACCAGACATATAGTGGGTGCATGATAGGTGGTTTGGAATGAATTTCTCATTAAAAGTAATGAACACTGGTTTGTCCCATAAACACAGAGTTTAAATTCAGTGTAGTAATAAAATAAACGTGAACTAAGAGACTATGAAAATAAGAAGAGACTACGTAACCCTGAGCAGGAAGGACCTAACTGTATATGGGCTCTTAATTTAGTCTGGAGCATCCTAGTGGCCAAGGCAGAAGAGAACCATGAAGAACTTTCTAATTTTTATATTGGAAAAGTGAACACACTTAGCTTTTCAAAAAACAAACAAAACAAAACACAACAAAACTTTATTCAGAAACCATGTTCTAACCAAATCGCCTGGCTGCCTAGGTTACAGACTTGAAACGTTGAATTATTTGAAACAATTATTTTCCTTGTCTAAAATTCTTTCCTAAGGATCTCTATTAGTTATAGCAGGAAAAATAACGTTGACAGGATGTATACATGGAAACAATGGCTCCAAATGGCTGCACAAACCATCCAGTAAGCTGTCAGGATTAATTAATTGACGTGAACAGAACCAGCATCTCACGGTGCTCCCAAAAGTGGGATTTTTCTCTTGTAAAAGGGTTTGCTTTCACTTTAAGAAAGCAGATCATGTAAGTCGAGGAGTCCTGAATCTTGTTAGGTTGGCATTACAAGATGAAAGTAA